ATGTTAACTATAGGTCTGACCGCGGCCAAGATTCTGTGGTATGCTGTAGAGTGGTGGAGGCCCAGCAACAGGTGGATGCATGAACGGGACAGAGTCAAATCAGCTGAGAAATTCCCATCAATCTCTAGTAATCTATCTTCTAGCGATTTAAGGACAACAAGGTGAACCTGTGAATGACTAACTAACTATATCAACTGAATATCTGATGTCAATCAATAGGACATAGCTTATGGGAGCTGGTTTGAATTCTCAGAGAAAAAGGTAGGAATAAAATGACATAATTGAAACGAGTCAAAAAGTTACTGCGGCCAATAATAACTACACCTTTTCGGGACACCTAATGGTGGCTAGCAAATGGCATTGCAAACGAAATAACAAATTTGACGCATAAGTCTGCGTAGCTATAAAAATAATTATCGCATTGTGTGAAACATAAATTAATGTCGACATTAGCTAAGCATAGATCCATCCATTCATTCATTTATTCATCCGCCCTGAGTGAACGTTCGTATGTAGGTGAACGCATTGTAAAATATAAATGACATTAATATAAAAACCATAAATTCAACGCTACGTAACAAACAAATGCAAACCGCCATAGCTTTAGATTTAGAGATAAAACGTCGGATGAAATGAATTTTTGTAGAAAAGCATAACATTATTATCTATGCATGGATTTCATGTTTGAACAAATACGCAGCCACTTACAATGGTAAATGGAAAACGATATCATCGCATACATGTGCGAAAGATTACAATAAGATGAACTTGAATATCATCGCAACTCATAAGACAAGTGAGCGGAAACTCGTATGACAAGTTTATAAATATTTCACATGCTTAGGAAAAATGAAACACAACATAAATAAAAAAAAAAAAAAAAATTGTTTCCCAATAAAAATTCAAGGTATGCACGCACAAACACACGAATTTATAACAGCCATAAATATATGTTTATAAAGCGATTGCTTTTCCGTTTCCGGTAATCCGTTAAAAACATCGCGAATATTATCATTTTAGCCATGACAGTTAAATCATACATACACGCACGCATGCATGCATGCATGCATGCATGCATAGATGTGTGGAGCGCGCATTTCATGCTTGTTTATTCGAATTACTTACCGCTTGCTTAGTCATGTTAAGCTGCTTTCCTTTTGGTTAAGAGATTTGTTTCCCATTCCATTTTAATCTCAAACCTTCCCCAAGCAGATACTCACACTTTCGGGATATTAGGAGACGATCTTCCACTATATATACTATGTTGTAATGTTGTGCAATAAACAACAAATGTTAAACTTTTTTTTTGCCTTTTTCGAAACAAAAGTACACGTTTTCTTTTAGCTTCAATCCCAACAGACCGTTCCCCACCCAAGGATGAGTAAAAATAAAATATTTAAACACTTGATACCAGCCATGAAAAATGTAACTTTTTACACAAGTTCCCTGGCTTTTTGTAGGCAGCGGCACAAATATTGCATAGACAGCCAACCAGTAAAAAATTTCATTTTATTCAAGTGATAATCGTACGGTTGGCATTGACTCCACCAGAGGCATACAGACAACATGCTGCATAAATAGTTATACAGTACAACAGTTATTTGTTGCTTTTCATTTCATTGCGAATAGGAAAAAAAGATTAAAGAACAAACCTATAAGAAACATATTCATTCATTCGCCTTAAGATGGACTTTGAAAAACCTCTACCTAAGAATTGTATTAAAAAACTTTGTTTATTATTTAATTAAGGGCCGCGTTATCGATCATATTACGCACGCAGTTAGTGCTCTGTGGAGCACAAAGAAGCCAAAATGGGACATATATATTTATTTTCGTTACAAAATCTATGATAAAACAACGGGCCGCATTTTTCGATGGCTGCATTTGATTTCTTTAAAGAAAACATGAAATTTTCCAAAATAATATAATAACGTTAAGTGCCAGATATAGCCGCGAATTCGAACACTATGAGGTAATTCGCAGTTGGCGTGATGGAGTCAAGTTTCTACGCTGCAAACTTATAGGCCAAAGCACGTGATATCTCGTAGTTGAGAGTGAAAGGGTTAAAATTACAATTATTTCATAAAAGCAAAATGCAAAGCGCGCCGTAGTACAATGTTGAGAGTTCGTCGGGATCCGCGATGCAAATTATACGTATGTGTTAAGCTCAGCGACCACGTTGACCTCCTTCCAGTTCTTATGAATCGCCCTACGAGGGTCCGAGGTCCATATACTTCAACTGCTCTGTGACGAAAATGGTAATTGAGTGACTGAACACAAAGCAATACTGTGCGGATATACTTCCCCTTGGAGTAATGTTACCCAAAATAACATACTCTTGGGAAGCATGGAAGTCAGAGAGAATTTTTCCACAGTAGCTTGCAGTTTCGGTGTTTGCGCTGTTTAAAGAGACAATGCAAGAGAGACCTAATTGCGACAATGAAGCTTTCCGATAACCTCTAAACTCATGTTGGAGTGCCCCCAAATCCTGAATGAGCTAGGGAAGCGCAATGAAGTGGACCTATCTTGGATGTCCGGGCATTCAGGCATCAAAGGCAATAGAAGGGCTGATTGCCTAGTCAACAGGGGAGCCCGAAGCGATCTCAAGAGACTGGTTTTGGAGTGGGCACAGTAAAAATCAATAAGTCATTAGTAGCAAAGTGCGGGACAACGGCAAGCTAAAAGATTCATCAAATCCTGCGGCATAGCATACAAGCCACTGGAACTATGAACGAGCGACTTACGTCTTATAAGTGGCTTTTACACGGGTCATAACTCGCTCAAATACCCCCTGAAAAATATTGATGTCTCAAAAGCCGAACCATACAGATGCAGAGACAGGGTGAAAGAAACGTCCCATTGTACACTGCAGGATCAAATACCATGTGTTTGGCGCTCCGAACCGAAAAAGGTGGTTCATCTCCCTTCTTCGGAAGACAATCCTTTTTCCAAGTTTTCTAAACATCTTTTTTTCAAAGTTTTTTTTTTTGACTTCATTTCTTATCCTCTTTAAGACACTGTTCTATCCTGCAATCTGTTTGTAGACATAACAAAAAAACTTAAGAAATCTTGTAAAAAATGCTAAACAGTTTCTGTTACCAACAATAGCTGTTGTTACTATGTTTGCCGCATGTCTTCTGTTCATCATTTCAAGATATTCAAAGTCGAACATTAAAATGTTTACCAAACATCTCCTTAGAGATGTTGTAGCGACATGTACAACGCGATGTGATAGACTACTATGGATGGCTACAGATGGAAATGTTTGAAAAGTTGCCTGCGTCTATTGTTGTTGCTTGTTATGCTTGTTAATATTGTTACTATTTGATATTATGTTACACAAGTTATAATAATAATTTTTTATTTACTCCCGTAGGAGTCGTTTGTTTGTTTAAACTTGAACTCTTGACTTGAGTTGAGGGCGTTTTTGTTTCTTTTTTGCTTTTTTTTTTCGCTTTCCTCAAACCATATGATAATTAAGCAGAAAAATTGGAAGACTTTCTTAAGAAGTTTATTAGAAAATTTATAATTATCCCAAAGGATTTAAAAAAAATTTTTGGCCTTTTTTTATAGCCGCCACCGAAGCATGAGGTGTACATTCGTTTTGTCGAAACGTTTGCAACAGCCAGAAGTGAGCCTGAGAGCCGCTTTAAAGTACATATATTCTTGATCAACGTAAAATTCTAAATCGATGTAAGCACATCCGTCTGTCCACCTGACTATGTAACCTTTCTGGTAAACATTTCCCTTACTGTAAAGAGGCAGAAACCCGCGCTAAATAGGGCAGAAAGATTACAAGTTGTTGCAACCAAGCTAATATTGAATTTGAGCGACATCAGCCAAAGAACGCGGCCAAAAGACAACATAATAAGCTGAGACCGTCTCCGTTTTCACAAAAAAAAAAAAGAAGAAAATATTGGTTTTTGCTTGTTGCTTATACACCACAACAAATACAATGATAAAAATTTGCATTTATAGTTTATGGCTGATGTTGCAGCACCTGTGTCGGTCACGTCTGCTCCATATTACGGAATATTAAAATTTCATTCTTTCATCAACACGTTGGCAGCACCCAAAAAGTAGCTTCAAAGACCACATAAAGCCTGGATATTACTAACTCATTCTATAAATGTCCGTCCGTCCGCTCATCCCTTCAGTGCTGTAGCAAACGTACTCAAGGTCGCAAAAATGAAGATGTCTGTTGCGAATATGGCAAAAACGTTGAAAGTCGTTGCTCGGGAGCTGACATTGGTCCAAACAATGGCAAAAGGATATGTTCTTATATTATAGTGTGGGCCAGTCCTTTTACTGACTGACTTATCGATTGAGACTCTTTTACAAACTAAGTCTTTTCTCGCATCACAAAATAAGGCCGAGTCTTTTCGCCGATTGGGTACATTTTGACCTTTTGGATTTTGTGTCCATAAACAAGAAGAGACACACGATATAAATTTTCACTCTTATTGTCCAAAAGTAGAAAGAATCTGTTCTTCTTTTTCTTAGTTTCTCTTGAAATAAAGCTCGTAGACATAAAAGATTCTTCGTTCGCAGGCGAATATAATTCTCTTACTTTTAATTAATTTGAAATTAAATCCATAAAATTATTTCTTGACGGTTATGATGTGTACACTTGATTATGGAAAATGTTCTCCGATTTCTGTTTGGACTTTTTCCTGCTCATACATATAGCGCCGCAATCATCATGTTTTGCTATTTTTCAACAAACCCCTTCTACGCTCTCTAGTGATGGATTGTTATTCACACGTAGTTGATGATAACGACGACGATGATGCTTGTGATAGAAAAGGGGGAAAAAAATCTTCACATATTAGAGAACATATGTCTGTGTCGCTTTAAGTACCGTTAAAATGCGGTTACAAGTGCTTTTAAAAAACTTTTTTCATTTGAATAAATTTTTTTCAATTCCTTTTTTTATTTCTCTTTTTCTGTCAATTTTTCCAATTTATGTACGTTTTTCTTTCTTCTTGTTTTTTGTGCAGTTTGGATCGTGACCAACCGTTCACCTTTCAATTAGGCGCCGGTCAAGTTATTAAAGGTTGGGATCAAGGCTTAGTGGATATGTGTGTGGGTAAGTGTATTGTGCCATTTAATGCTTTTTCGAAAATCCAAGTTTTAATGCTTTGCCAAATTTCCATTATATAGGAGAGAAACGTAAACTTGTGATACCACCGGAATTAGGTTACGGTGATCGTGGTGCTGGCAACGTAATACCGCCTAAAGCTACATTGGTCTTCGAAGTAGAACTGATTAACATTAGCAACAGTCCGCCCACCACAAACGTGTTCAAGGAGATCGATGAAAACGGCGATAAACAATTGAGCCGCGAAGAGGTAAACCAATATGTATGGATCGCACCTTTTGCATATTCATTGTATTCGTTTTCGTTCGTTTTTGTTATTTGCTTACGGATGTCGTTCTTATTTCTTATGGGATTTCTGGTGGCGGTTCATTTTTCATAAAAAATCGAAAAATATTTTTGCTTTTCTTTTTTATTAGATTAAAGTCCGCACATATAACAAAGATCTTGAAGCGATAAGAAATTTTATTTTTTTAAATTCTGCTCACAAATTTACAAACGCTGATAACACCTAACTTAACCTTTTCTGGGACGGATTTTTTATAGCAAGAAAAAATTGCCTTTTCTTTATACGACAACGGGAAAACGGGGAAAACAATAACAATACAGAAAAAAACAGAAAAGAATAATGTCCCTATGCGTCGGTGGTAATTTCCTGGTGCACCGGAAACTCCATAGGAGACATGTTAATGTGTTGATGATTGCAACGAATCCATAAATTAACTATGAATACGTTTAAATATTGAAACGCAATTGTTTTGTAAAATTTTCAACATTTCATAGTGGGAGGATAGCTTGCTATCGTATGATCAAACATATGTACAACCCCGATGTCGCAGCACTGCGTCCCCAATGACTACATGTTGTGCGCTAACAGTTAAAGATTTTTAATACATCTCAAGTGCCGACACGTATTCATCTTGAGAAGGCCTAACCTAGGCTTTGAAACCTCACTCCTCACTTGGTTTGGGTTTATTATATGATTTATCTCTATATCCCAAAAAGCGATTCAACATTTTTTTATGAACATAAAATTTAAAGCTTGAGTATTTATACACTTTGTGGGATCTTCGAAACTTGCTTCTGCGCTTTATGAAAGTATTGAAGAAAAAATTAAATTTTCATTCGTTATAACAGGGTAGGGTAGACGTGATCAATTTTCTCCTTTTTGTGCAAGTGCTACAGCCTCGCCCTTACAATATACGTGCAAATTCTAGTTTATGTATAGTGAGCAAAAAACCAATTATTTGTTCCATTTCAAAAGTAGCGGTGATTTCAGTCTACGTAGTATTGTAGGTGTGTTCTTTGGTGGATTTGCTCCATTGTCAATGCATGCAAGTGCGTCCACTATTTCAGTCAAATTTGAACTCGATAGGTTCGTCTTTGCGGCAGGGAGAATGTTTGCAGTAGTTTGCATAGACAGACAGACGAACATGCTTAAATCGATTCAGGATCAAGAATGTATATAGTTTGTGGGGAGTCCGAAGCTACGCGTTCCAAAAGTTTTAACAAAATGAACGCCTTTCGGAGACAAAGTAAAGGATAGTAAGTAACAGGTTATATTACCGCAAATGAATGCAAAGTTGAGGTTGCAAAGTATTTTATAAAATCGAAAAGACATGGCTTTTAGACGATCTAAACCATTTTCGTATTCAATTTTTAAAGATCGTTTTCAACATTTGTCTGCGTTTATACTATGCATTCTTATTGTGTCACTTGTCGATAAATCACTTACCGTTTTATTGTCTTCCGCAATATCTGCAATAACTTCAGGGCGCACAGATGATGCGGATTATGAATTAAAGTTGAATTACGGGCGGGTCAAGATCGGTCTATGAATTTGTTTGCTAAGGCTTTCATTGCAAGAGATCTCAACGGATGACAGATAGATGAAAGGACGGTCGAACCGGCGAAAATCCTTCAGAATTGTTCCTTCATCAATAGTGTGCACATTATACAAGATCTCTTCTTCTTCTTCTAAAAATTCAGCAAATTAACAGCAAAGGACTCACGATGCTGAGTTACTTATCGCTAAAGAAAGCTATGAACATGGATGTTTCGATCCTGAATAATATATTTCCTCCACACACGACGAAAATCGAAATATAAAATGTCAAGGAATATTTTGCATGAAAATCGATTTCGTCGTGTGTGGAAGGAACACATTACTTTGCACGATCTAAAGAAAGATTATTGGTTGGAAAAGTGTTCGTGAGAAAAGCGCGGTGAGAGAGATAATAAAATGAAGTTCCGAACTTTTGCTTTTTTTTCAAGGAAATATTGAAACGCTACTAACCAAAAAAAGAAAACTATTACGTTCACATTTTGATTTGTCGGTAGTGGATATAGAAATATCGAAATCGCTCATATTATTGTATTTAATTAGCACTACTTTCATGATATCATCTAATGCACTTTATAAATAAGTAATTTAAACTTTTTATGTAATTTTTCATTTAATAAAAAGTTTGCTTTTCTTTCTCTTGCATTTTAGGTTAGTGAGTATTTGAAAAAACAGATGACAGCCGTTGATGGTCAGGATTCGGACGAGTTGAAAAATATGTTGAAAGAAAATGATAAACTTGTGGAAGAGATATTCCAGCATGAAGACAAAGATAAAAATGGTTTTATATCACATGACGAATTTTCAGGGCCCAAGCATGACGAGCTATAAGATTTGCTTATTCACTCTTCCTTTCAGTCTCATCCCTGTTTCTTTCTCTCTACAACGCCTCTTCAAAAAAAAAAGAAAAAATAATCTTATTATTTATACATAAGATATGTGAATTATGGGTTGTTTTCCAATTGTTTCCATTAATTATAACTGTAGTTAAGTAAATGTGAAGGAAATAAAGCAGAAGCTCTTTGTTCATGATTTCGAGGAATAGTAATATTTTTTAAATTTTCACACATTTTCTTTATATATATATAAAAAGGGAAAAAACTGTTTTTTTTTTTTTTTGTAATATTAAATAAAGTCATTTATTTAAAATCAAAATTGAAATCATCTGAATTTTTTTTAATCACTTTTTTCTTTCGTTAGGTACGTTATCTGATAAATATGTTAATTACGTTATACATGCGTAGCTGAATGAAATTTTTTTTTCTTCGAAAAACAACTTTTTTGATTTTGTATCTAAATTATTCTTAGATATTTTTTTTTTGGTGAAATATAACTGTTAATTTAGGGCGATTTAAGGAGAGGCAATTTTTATACATTTTTTTTGCGGAGGGATGGAGGGAAGGATGGGGGAGGATAGCAGGGTATATTTATTAAAAATTCAAATGGTTTATGCACATTTCATGTGAGGGTCTTCAAAATGTTAACAATAAATTTTAGGTAAAAGACAATTTTTAAAAAAACAACTTAAAAGTATTAAAATAATTCCATAAATCGCAAGCAGCCGTTGAAACTGAAAATTTCTCAAAAAGAAGAACGTTTGGTATATCTATTGTTTTCATTTCACTTTGCTTTCGTTCATTTTTACACAAGCACCCATACACACCCAGACATAGGCACACACATACATCCATCCATGAAAACATTCATTTACTAAACATTTAAAATGTAAAAGATTAACTCTAAGATAATAGCATCTTCAATATTTGCCGAAATGCTATGCAATGTAGGAATTAAATGATTATCCAATGCATTCATGTACAGAGGTGGTAACTTAGAGCCGCCAGCTCCAGCTTCGTAGCACACCTGGAAAATTATTATTTATATTATTATTTCAACAATTTTAAAAAAAACTTTAATGATATTGGAAAGTCTTTCCATTTTTCTTAATGTGAAAATAGAGACAAATTCAATGGGAAAACACTGGTTGGGAGAAATTTTTTACTTTCAACAAGTAAAAAAACCTAATTTAAGTCTTGCCCTGGAGGTTTCATTTTACGATGGCTAAAAGTAGAAGCAATGAGTTTTGCGTTAGTGAGCATCAGCTACCTGTCTCATCTCTTTGCATGAGGACAGTATGTAATTATTATCTTTGCTTTGCTATGGCTAAAGTTCAGTATAACTAATATTAAATACTCTACTCTACGCCGTCTAATACAACCCCCCGCCTACTTCTATCTTAATATCAAATAAAGGTTTCTTTTGCTTATAGTTAGATAAGAGGGTCGAAAATTAAATCTCTATCGGTGAAACTCAACATGGTAAATTTATATGCCCAGTTGTTATTCTAGATGTCACATCCAATGCTGAAAAACGAACTTATTCGTATTGGAAGGTGCTGTGGGAATTCGCGAGAGATCCAATGTTTATATATGTGGGCAAATTTATTTGACTCTTCATGTCCTGTTACCACTTGAAAGCGATAATAGATCGGAGATTTCGCTTTTTTTCTTCTCTTCTTTAGAAAGTATGTTAAAATCGCTCTTAGAACGAAACGTTTTTTGTGTAATTATCAACAATCAATGGAACTTTTTTTTTATGAACGGCATGCAAATGGAAATTTTATGAAGAAAAAATCTTTTACTTACGCTGTCTTGATGCAGAGTAAAGCGTAGACCGATTTTCGTATGTTTACTGGCTGTCAACAAATCGAGAAACGGTACTAGGGCTATCGAAGTACTACGCGCGATTTGTTCTGTCAGAAGTGTTATTTCTATGGGCGTTAATGTTGAGGTGCTGGCATACCACTCATCGTACTGTAATGAAATAATAAAGTATCGTGTAAGAAATTTGTTGTCTTGGAAAACTAAACATTTGAGATATTTTTGATTTGAAAAAATAAATCTTTTGTTTAGGCGAAGTTTGATTGCACAATGTTCGTGATCGGGCGATATGAATATTCTATGGGCCTGGTATTACTTCTTAACATCTCGCAATTGCTGTGAAAATACAACTAATGGAAAGTGACACATACAGCGATAATATTGTTTTTTCAATACATGAAATTTCGTTCACAGAAAGGTAGCTCAACACTTTCTTTCTAAAGTATTGATGGCTTAAAGTGGCATTTTATTTTAACAGCACGCCATTCAATACTTCAATACATTTCATAAGTATGTTAATTAAACAAAGAATTTCGCTGGCCGCGCGGATTTGGTTAAGATTTAACTGTGAATATATTAATGTAGAATAATCTAAACACACACTGTACTTATGTCCCAGAAAAAAATTCATATGGCTATTTATTTAGTTGACCATCGCAAATCGCAAGTTCGAGCGGGACTGGAATCTTTTCGAAAGTTTCTAACAAAAAATGTAGAAAAAATGAAAAAAATATATACATCTCTTACTTTACCTTAAGCACATAAATATCAGTTAAACGTATCGCATAGTTTGTATTAGAATAATTGAAACTAGCGTGTACGCGCATACTGGAAATGCCATCCATTAAACGCTCGTCAATGGGTGATTTGACACTAAAACATATTTTTTTATTAATTATTGGTATTTACTTTGTTTTCCTTTTAATATTGTCTTACCCTATATTAATTTCTTTATCATTGTCCACCCATTTAAGACAAACTATTTCGGTTTGTTGCTCATCAGCGTTTACTGGACCACATACAATGGTCACATCGTTCTGATTTTTTAAAGCGTTACGTATCTCTTCCATTTTCGCGGGTAAGATTTGAACCATTAGGCCATCCTCAACTATGCTACACTTTCCGGAAAGACCGCTGGATGTTTTCAAAGATTCATTTAAAACAAAAAAACTTGCCCCGGTCACTGAAATGCACTTGAATGAAATTCCATTTAAAATAAATATTCGAAATCTTGACTTTTCAACCTTTTCTAGGTTGTCCTTGGATATTTATTGCTTGTGTAGAATAAGCATACATTTCAGAATGGTCGTCGTGAAGGTTTTGCATACACACCAAATGACCGTCAGCTGTTTTAGAGAAATTTCCACCGAAAGCCAGAATATGATCACTTGAGTTATTTATAGCCTTGACAACGTCCTCTAAACGGTTACGAGGTATCACTACTGTAGTTTGACGATCTTCCATGTGTATGTACATGCCGTGAATAAACGGCAGTGTATAAGAATAATTGCGAAAATCCTAAAAAAGTAAATTAGATTTTCAAACGAAAGCTAACAGTACCTGATGCTCGTTTGATTTACCGCCAAAAAATTGATTATTGTTTGCGCTATTTCAGCGTACACGGACTCTCGATTACACATGCTAATATGGGGACAGGGATAATAACGATATTGAGCTCCGAGCCTTAACATCAAACGTAGCGGAAACACTTTGGCCCAAGGCACTTCATGCCGGTGTATCAATATACCTATTAAATAGGGATTCTGGGGTACTATCACATCTTGCATACATTGGAAAGTCGGTCGTATATATATGAAACCTCCGTAGTTTCGGGAACCGAGAAATGTGTTACCTGCAGGACTCGTATGTGAAAGTTCTGCGATTCGATTACCTTTATCGGCGCTATTGTAAATTTCATTAAGATGGACAAAAACATCTTTAGGTATTAGAGGATTATGCAACTCCTCTTTACTTGTGGGTATATCACATTCCAATAATATTATAATTTCATCATTACCCACATGATGCATACCTTCTGTTGTGAAATTGATAACCGTGCGATTTAAGCAACATTTCACTGAAAAAACAAAGCCGATAAAATGTTTTAAGACGCAACAATTCTTTTGGACATCATTATACTTACAATTCACAATCTTGACGTAGACAAAGAAATTTTTTTGCAAAGCAAATTTTAAAGTTTCTTTTTGCAAACGTAGCAACAATTCATAATTGTTAACAACGTCTTTGTAATCGAAATCACAACCGCTTTCATCCCTAAACAAAACAATAGGAGGCAAACTATAATCATTCTCAGCAGGTATGAAGCAGCCAAGCTCGTCGCAACCGGAAGGTGGCAAACGTGGTTTGGATCGATTTGCATCGTTGGATTTGCCACTAGATGTGTTTGCCAGTGTAGGTGTGGCTTCCGCTATAGCCTTGTTAACTAAAGCAACGAAGACGATATTAAGAAACATTTGACTTTCTATTCTTTTGTTATTCTTAACATCGATTGCTTCCTTACCTTTAGTTCCTATCGATTGTTGCGCTGCGCTGACAGTGTTGGCCGCTATGACTGGCGGTATGGAGCCACGAAATAGTTGGGCCATTAAACCTAATGCGGATGCGTCCGTTATTTGTTCGGTACGTCCTCCAGGAGTTGGCGGTTTAATATTATTGCTATTTGACTGCCGTTGATGAGTACGTTCACTTTGACGTCTCGGTTGTTTAGGCTCATTCCACTGATCGATGATGGCTAAATCACTGCCAGGTGCTATCCCGTCGCTGAACATCACCGATTTACGTTTTCGAGCTTTTTGGCCACTGGAGTTAGAGGAGTTCGAGGAATGGCTTCCAGCATTGTCCTTTTTCAACACACCGACAGGCACTATAACACTAGGCGGATCCTTGGGCTCCCCACTGACTTGCTTATGAGGCGGTATAGTAGAACAATATTCCATTGGATTATTAGGGTTTGGTGAACGGGTTAAGGGCGGGGAAGAGCAAGTTGTCGTATTAGCTAACGGCGTATTAGACGACGCTTTAGTATGCAAATTCTCTGCTTCATCTTCTGGCCGAGGGGCAGAATCATCGTGTCGCTGCATTAAAATCAAGTAACATTGAACACAAACTCTCGATTCCGGTTCTACCAGGAATTCTAATTTATATTTTTGTGAACAGCACACAGAGCATAAAACTTTACCACAAGCCCGGCAATGATGACGACGCTTAATCATTGTAAATTTGGCTGCACAGTTCATGCAACCGGTGGCCATATTATCGGGCACCCAAATAGGTGGAATTTTCCCGACATTAGCGTGAGGATCTTCACTGTAGCCAGTCGCTTCTGCTATATCATTCTTTAAAAGATTTTGAGCTAATGCAGTCGTTTGGATTTGCTCTTCCGGTGTAGGACTCTGAGGACTTTGGTCCAACTCATTAACTTGTTTATCATTACCGGGTGGTGTTTGCCCCGCGTTAGAATATAAATCCAAAGATTGTAAAGCTGGTATGTCGAGAGTGGTAGGACGTTGAGGTCTACAGGACTCATTGTCATCGCCTTCTTCCTCTTTTACTCTATTGTGTTCTTCTATTTCTTCCGCGTTGATATCACCATTAGTTTCCGGAGGCGTTTTAGTGTGTATAATATCACCGTCTAAAGAGGAAGATTCGCTGTTGCTGCCGCTACTACTGGTAGTAGTGTAAGAGGAAGCTACAGAATTAGTTTCGAGGCTACGAGCGGGGGCACGTATCTCCGAGAATTCAACAGTAGAGGCTTGTGAGAAACTATCGCCATTCGGATGGTCACTCGTACTACTCTCCGAAAATGCTTCTTCGTTGCACGACTGACCAACTGACGTTGCTCCCAGAAATTGTCCTCTTTGTTCTTTAACATTGATCGTTACAGATTTCGTTAAACCATTATCCATATCATCGTCAATATCCATTTCCTGTAGCATACTGTCTAACTCAGTATCAGAAATGTCATCCATTGTCGAACAAAATGTTACAGGTTGCAAATGAGACGTCTGTGGATCTTTGAAGGTTACAGCACTATAAGGCAAGGGCTTATTAGGCATTTTTTCTACAGAATTCTCTGCACTTTTACTCCGTGCTTTGTCTTTTTCTTCTAATCGATCTGGCTTTTTCGATATTTCCAAATCGTCACGTATCTGACTGAGAACAGAATTCGAGACACTTGTCTCACTTAGATTTTCCAAAACCCTACCTAATGATGAGGAAGAAACTGAGGTTTCTAGGGGTAAAATTGACTGAGTTTGAAGATTGGCGCTTGTGTTAATGGATATAGAAGATAAACCTTGTGCCAAATCTTCTAGTGTTTCACTTTGAGTAGTTATTTCCGGTTTATTTATTAGCTTTCTGCTTACGCTTTGAGGAAAATCATTTTCTTTAGGCTGTAAATCTTCGGGGGTGGTATCTTCTCCCAGCGAAGGTCCCGAAGAAAATGTTGATGGTGAGGAAGTGGTTAAAGATTCTGAACTATTAGACGAATTATTGTCAATTAAATTTTGACTGTCACTTGTTTTCTTTTTTACTTTCTCTGTAAACTTTTGTATATCGTGACTTTGTTCTACTTCATTTTCATACTCAGCCAATTCTTGCTTGCACGTAGCTAAAAGCTGCCGGGACCTGGATGGCTGAAAACCAGTGCTATCAGATTCATCTCTCTCTTCCAATGCTTTACGTGTTTGCGCAGTTATGGCAGACAAATTTGTTAAAATTTTTTCTTTATCCACGATTAAGTTACTTTTGTTCAAGGTCGAAATACTGGGTAACGCCACCACACCATTAGTAGAGGTTCGAGCTAAATCTTTTACCAATTGTTCTTCAACCTTTTGACGTTCGTTCGCAGCCTCTTCATGTAACTCCAAGTTGTCTAAAACTTGATCAATATCCACCAAATCCATATTGAAAAAAAGTCAAAAGTGACCTTAAATATTAAATCATATGAATACTGCTGTGCTACTGTTGTTTTTGTAAACTGTGTTATTTATCAGCTACCGGTGCAAAAAGCAGCGACAACGTTCGAGGAATTTTAGATATTAACAACACCTGGTTGGTTGAACTGTTACACTTTATTTCAGCCGTTTGAAGATATGAAGTGTACTTATGTATGAATGTATGTACGTATGTTATCTGCTTGTATTTAATAATTATTGACGACGATGAATCATTCGTTTATGTATCTTCGTTGTCGACAATTATGTTGAACCCAACTAAAGCAAAATTTAACACTTTGTTTTTGTTTACATCAATTTACATCGATAGTAAATCATCTGATTTCTGATCACACTTAGATCAGATCCATGAAAAATCCCATTTATCTTCTTATTGGAAGAATTTTCTTTCATATTTTCACATTGATGGCATATTTTCCGTTTTATATTATTTCATTACTTTTGTATTGTGTTTTTTTTTTAATGCAAGGGCTTTATTTATCTCTGTTAAATTAATTTATTGTTTTCTTTTCTTAATTAAATTTCTTGCAATTTTTTACCACCTTTTCTTCACGGTGTAACAAAATTTTCCAAATTTAATTAAGTCAACTAAAAATTTTTCTCTTCTTCATACTAAAAATTTACAGAAAGTAAACAGGAGTTGCCATCGTTTCACGTAATTGTATGTGTGTTGCCAGCAGGAAAATGAATAATTTAAAAGGAAAATTTATAATTAAAACAACAAGTTGAACAATTCTCCGTTCTCTTAGCATTTATTTTAGCCTCTGCATAAGGAATGTACAGCAAGCACAGCAAAGTCAATTTTACAAAAGCGAAACATTGGCAACGCTTTTTTCTATGATTTAGAATAATAAATAAAATATAAGGTAATAAAGAGTATTGTGTATGTTTAGTGAAACTAAATGGTTTAATGTTTTATTAATCAATATTAAAGACAAAATAATTATTATCTCATAAAGCGATATTAAAAACAATTTTTGTTTTTTTAATTCATTAATATAGGCTAATTTTTTAAAAAAAACCCTTCAACAATAAAATATCTTTTCATTTATTTATTAAACGCAGCTAACTCGCTAAATTTTATCTGTTGGATACTCGTTATTACTAGAATCAGTTCACTATTGTGTCCATTAGTGATTTTTTCACTGTATCTATCTCTTGTAAAGTATTCATTATTTGTTAAATACGGAAAAAAAGAATTAACACCAATTAAATTAATTAAAATAAAAAAATATAAATTTTACAACTAAAAAAAGGAAACCAATTCTAATAATTTATATATCTAGAATAACAAAATAAATGTAAAATTTTTTCTCGCTATTAATTTTGCAAACATGTTAATATTAGTGTTCCATTAGATACCAAAACGGGTTACGCTAGCACTAAATTATTATTTATTTGGAGAATGGTCAACTGTTTCGTCTAAACAAACAAAAATTAAAAAAAAATAAAAAAAGAAAATAAAAAAAGAAAATGAATGAAATTTGAAATTCTTTCTAATATTGATTTAAATGAGGTCTTGTACTTTTTCAATATTCTACACTAAAACTCAATGATGTTATTGCTGCTATTGCCGTTAACGATGGTGATGGCAGTGATGACGGTAGTATTGCATACATTTCACTGATTTTATAAGTGGCCACTTAACAGTGAACTATAGATGCTTTATAAAGACAAAAAGAAAAATCTACAAACGCATATATAACGGAATCTATAATCTATAAAATACATCGAGAAAACGAACTTTACTTGTGCAACAACTTATTCGCTTCAAATATTTCTTTACACTTTCTTATTCCATTATTATTATTAGTAATATTAGTAATAATAACACAATTCATGTTCATGTACCCTTAGTTTACATATATATAAAATTGTCTATGCATCGGTAATAGAAAGAAAAACAAAACGAGCTTACAAAATTACCCATATACATACATGCATATGTATACAGAAGTAGAGAGTAGAGAGGTGGGTAAATACACGTAAGCAATGCCATTAAGAATTTTTTTAGAACGGCATCTAACGCGTTTGCAGACAATGAATGTGAAAGTCCCTCAGCAGATTGAAACATTTAAATGAAATGCGTCAAGAGGATAAACTTTGATCCGGGCATTATGAAACTACCTGTGGATGATAAATTCATCAATTATTTAAGCCAGTCTATCGCAAGAAGAGGTGACAGTTAACTCGCTCTTTATTGTTTCTAAAAATTTCCTTTTGCAAGCTACAGGATACACAAGTAAGGATTTTTATTGTGGATTTTTTTCTTTCTCTTTAATTATTAATAAATTCTTGTAGATATTACCTTTTCTGCTCGATTATCACTATTATCTTTACCATGGACGATTTACTTGTTGTTCGATAAAACGATTGATTATTCATTAAAGATTGTCAGTATGGACAATTTTCCGCTTCACGTTAACAACAGTAAAAACAATAACAACAGTTATAACACAGATACGATGCAAAGAGGTCAAGAGGATTTAATGCGCACGGCCGCCTTTGAATATACATTACCCACCAATGAAGATGACGATGAGGATGAGGATGACGATGATGATGATGATGATGATGATGATGAAGATGCCGAAAGTAATAAAAGCACTCCGTATTATACACCTATGGAATTTATTCACAGTCCATTTGAGTTTCCTTCACCGCGTTTAGCAGACACTGAAAATTTGTTGTTAATTTCACAAGGTAACGACATATCGAAACCACAAATGGCTTTAGCAGAAACCATACATCATGAAGTCGGCAATCAAAGTCCACGTATTTTTCAAACATCAAGTGTGAGAGCATTTAGCAAACATTTGGAGCCAACATCTCCGGCTATAAATCGTAAATTTCGTCGCTTTTCTCTTTACGAACGACGTTCGTGCTCGCCGCAACATTTAATAATTAAGAATGCTGCGTCTGTTGAATGTGCTATGGAAACGGACAAGGAGAATGCGAAACCAAAATTTTTGTCAGATAGGAAGGAAAGTAGCAATAGTGGCAATAACTCACCAAGTATGATTATCGATGAATCAGGCTCGCCTCGTATACTCACCAGCACGGAAGCAGCTTTATTAAGCGGCAGTGTTGGTGGTAATAATACACGTCTTGCCTATTCTCCTAAGCTATTGACGTCAATCAACAATCTGAATTTGAATTCTCCTCTAGGTGTCATAAGCTCTGCTGGTTATAAGAATGGCAATTATTTCAAATTTCCTGAAATTGATCAAGGATTTGCATTAACAAACCCATCTCAGCTGGAAGCATCTAGTACTAGCTGGGATAATCATTTTTTAAAAAGTCGCCCACCGTCCAAAAAACTAAGTAGTAATAGTTCATCTGCATCCTTCTCGAGTACAGCGAAACCATTTGCGTTTGACATCTTTCCGAAAGCCGATGTGGATACAAAAATATTCCATGAGGAAACCTCCAGTAGACAAAGTGCAATTCCTGGTAAAATTGATGCTAAAAGAAATCGTAAAAATAAAAATAATTTAACTATAAAAATAGCCAACAGTTCTTTAAGTAGTACTACAAATCAAAGCGCACAGTTAGATAAATCTGTGTCATTATCCTCGCCAAATCCCAAAACACCCACCCTTAAATGCACTAAAGAAAAGGCTCTTTCTTTAGATTCGGCGGCCAAAGCATCCGAAGCAAATAAGTCAATAGCTACAACCAAACAAACACACTTTCACTCTAGTTACGACCAATTGGAGTCTCAGCCATTGGAATCTAAGGCTGAGGTGATTAGAGAACGCTTAAGATCTGCCAGCGTGGCGACTAATCGCTCAACATCCATGTCGCAATTGTCGGCCCACGTTAGTTCAAGCGCTAACAAGCCGAGCACTTCTCAAACGGGTATGTTAGCGAAAACCATACGACGTCGTCTACCAAATTCATCAAGTGCGGAATGGCAACTATATCGCCGAAAACAGCACCCATTTACAATACCCGACTTGTCCAAGAACGTTACTGAGGAAGTACAGCCGGACAAAAAGACTGTTATCATACTTAAAGAGGATATAGAAGCTTCAAATGCTAGCACGTGCAATTCAACGCCATCTTTGACTTATCGCACAGCCCATAAGCATAATCCTTTGTTACACACTTCGAATACTAATTTAAAAACGCTACCAGAGTTTTTAACTTTAGTGGAATTCTCTACACCCTCCCATACACATGATCAACATCCTTTCAAGCAAAAGTCCATGGAGTTGCCAAGTTCAGCGACATCGGCAACGGCCACGGCGGCGGTGCGGTCAGCAAGTTCTACATCGTCCACCAATCTATTGCAGAGGCGAGGCTCAAATCATAGTCTTACACTTAACTTACACGGTTCTTGCAGTAACCTTCTGGGAAGTTGTCGCACTGGCCTTAGCGTTTCCAACTACAGCCTAGGCTCGGTTGGCAGCTCGAATAATAATTTAAACTCGAAATCAAGCGGCAACTTAACCAGTTGTCAAGCAACACAAAGTAACACCACCACACACAGCATTAATTCGCTTCACAGTCAGGGAACTAAGCAAACTTTATTTCGTAGACGTGGCTCAAATCAAAGCCTAACACTGACAAATCTAACGGCAACCTCTTGCGGAAACTTAAATTCCTTTTCTAGCCAAAATTCACTGAACATGGAAAAACCTCAAATAACTACATTACCGCGACCACTCAATAGTTCCACTTCAATTATAACAACCCCACGCAAAGGTTTACTGGAACGGCGGGGTTCCAATCAAAATCTTACCTTGAATATGAGCACTTCCTTTGGCGGTCTGGAAACTGAACGTACAAATTTGGGAATAAGCAGCTTGAACTTGGGCGATTCGCGTGTAGAAGACAATTTAAACAACCCCACATTCGTGCCACCGTGCAATGTGCATACTCATCAACGCAAATTCTTTAGTAGCGAAAGTCTAAACCGATCAAATACACAGTTTTCTGATCTGAATCAAGCGCATAGAAGGAATGCCAATCAGGTGTGCTTTGGTTCAGTTTCAGATCTAAAACCAAGCGATCGCGAGACAACTGCCGATGCCAATAGAGAGCAAACCGCTCGAGTAGAACATTTCAATTTCCAGGAAAGCTCTGTTTGTACCTGCACGGGAGTTCGCAACATTATGACCAAGCCGTTGTCGCCGCAAACCACTAGCGAAGAATTCAAAATTTATTTAGCCAACATACAAATGCTACAGAATGCATCCAATGCCCTTAACCAAAATGATTTAATTAAGCTTAACTATATTTTTGATCATAGCTATATAGCCAACGCCAAGAGTCTAACGGAACAAACGATACCTATCTTGAACATGCATAGCGCTAATAAAGAAATGGAAACCCCACCGGCTTTAATTACCACCTCGGAAGATTGTGAAATAATCAAACGCTATCTGGAAGTAGTGAGTGATGTTTTGAAAACTTCGAAACCCGATGAAGATGAACAAAAACGGCTTTTTCGTAATCTGCATAAAGAATTTTGGGATTTGCCGTTGAATCATCAAGAAAAGCCTATGGTATTTGGTTCGCAGACAAAAAACCGTTATAAGACGATATTGCCGAATGAAAATTCAAGAGTGATACTCGAAAAAGAGTCGAAATTATGGAAAGAAATTATGGCAGAAACTGAACATGCTACCACGGATTTTCTTCTAGCGACAGATGAACAGCCCTACATAAATGCCAACTATATTAAGGTAAGACGCGCATATATATATGTATATATCTTGACACAGAGTAATTAAAATTTTTCTTGCTATTTCAGGGTCCAGACTACACTTCTAAATGTTATATAGCAACACAAGGTCCTTTACCAAACACAATATACGAATTTTGGCTAATGATTTACCAAAATACGCAAAAGTATATAGAAATAGCGGAAGGGCCCGAAAGTCCGAGTCGACGACAGGGAAAGTTCCTCCAGCAGTATTATCAAAAAGTCATAATGCTTACAAATTTTGTTGAAAATAATCGGCAAAAATGCTCTGTTTATTTACCAACCGAATTAAATGAGATTTTTGTGACCGCTTCCCGCGAAGAACTAACAAAATCTAATGACTATTTAAAGGAAATTCTAAGGAAATATATAGAAGTGCAAGAGGAAAGAGCGGAAAAGACGATACTTGAGGCAAACATAGGTCTGAAAACATTTAAAATGGAAATACCACAGGGTCTGCATAACGATTTACCTCATAACAGTGGTTTCTTCATCATAAAAAATGTGGGTATTGTGCGAAAGAACGGTTTCTCTATACGCAAATTGCTTATCTTATATTGCGCTAATGTTTTACCTGGATATAAACGTTTGTTAATTCAACAATTTTATTGTTATCATTACTGGTATCCGGATTGGCCTGATCATCGTTCACCAAGAGATATAAACACTTTGCTGGACATTGCCTTGCATGTCATAAATTTGGGTAAATGCGAAGCTGAATTTGAGAGTTTTAACAATGATGACACTTCTACCAATAGTCCGATAACGCATTTAGAAGCTCAGCCGGTCGAATTGTATCAGCAAGATATATTTAATGCCGTACAACCTTTACCAGTAATACATTGCTCGGCTGGTATAGGACGTACCGGATGTCTAACGGCCATTTTAAATGGAATAAGACAGGTACGTCAATCGTTGGCCTATTCCTTATCTTCGATGGCTGCAGCTGCAGCTAAACAAGCAACTTGCTCCCAAGCTTTAAGTCCCGTTGACTTTTGTTTGCCCACAAATTTTCTTGAGCAACAATCTTGGCTTCATAAGGATCTCTTACCTCTCCCTACCGATATCGATTGTAGTTTCACACGTAATACTTTGCTTTATATATGTTACATAGTGGATCTGTTTCAAAATGCACAAGGAAGTGATAAGCAAAATCATGAAGACTATACTTGGAAATTGCCGGTATTAACAGACCTTCCAAAAAAGCCAAATATATTCGTAGACATCTTAGGTATCGTTTGTAATCTACGCTTACAACGTGGAGGTATGGTTCAAAATTCCGAGCAATACGAACTTATACACAGGGCAATCTGTGTGTACTTGAAAAGAATGTTTGCTTTAAAAAGATTTTAAAAAGAAAAAAGTAAATGAAGTGTTAATGAAAAAAAAAAAAAATTACAAAAAAATCTTAAAAACTAAAAAAAAAAAAAAAAAACACAATAAAGCGACTAAAGCTTTATTTGTAAACAAGCTTAAAAATTTTTGCTGTGGCATCTGTCTTATCTTGTTCTTTAAAGCTTTTATTAGCTAAATTAAACAAAAAAAGAGAAAAAATATAAAACAACAACAAAGAGAAGAACACCTAATTAAAATATTTTGGCGACACGATAGGCTTAGAAAATTTCAATTAACTTACGATTTTTTTTTTTTTTTTTAAATAGATCTAAGTTAACTAAAAATATTATAAATTTTAGTATAAAAAGTTGCAAAAATTATTAGCGAAGATTATATATATGTATAAAAAAAAAAAAAATTA